TGGAGTGCGTGCGTGCGTGGTTTTCTTCGTGGGGTTTCGTTCGTGGTGATAGGATGATGACCAGCCCTGTGTGTGTGTGCTTCGTGTGTATGTAGCGGTGGACGGGGTTGTGTTCCGAGGCTTGGACGTTGCGCTCTTGAGATTTACGCCTGTTTTTGTCATTTTTTTTTTTTTCTCGCGATACGCAACACTACGCACACTCCGCCGTGCGACAGAACCAGCGTGGATTTATATCTCACGAGTTCGCGCGGTGTCCCCCCCCTCCCCCCGCTGTCTCTCTCCCGGCTTTCGGTACTAGCTAGGCAAGCAAGTAGCCCCTGTGCGCGTTGGGGTGTAGTTTCGGCCGCAGTACTCGCCTACTCCCTCCCCGCTTTGTCCTTCGCTGTGTTTGTTCAATTCTCACTTCTCTTCTCTACTTTTGCTCACTTTACTTGCTTTGTCGACACGGGTGGACGTGTTTTGTTAGCACAGGCCTGGCGGACCTCAGCTCGTTCCACTTCGTGACCCCCTTGCTCCCTCGGCTCGACAAGCTCCTGGGGCGGGGTTTCCCTCCCGAGGCGTCGACGCTGGCGCTGCAGCTCGCCAATAACGACCTGAGCGCGGCGATTACGATGATGAAGGAGAGCCCGCTGCAGGACCTCATGACGTACCGCCTGGCGCTCTCTCCGAGGTCCTCGGAAGGTTTTTCCCCGAACCGAGGGCTTAGGGCCAAGTCCATCTCGGTGGTGTCGCCGGGGTCCATGCTCGAGTCGGATCAGGTTCGGACACAGCACGGTCGTTGTTTTTTGTTGAGTGACCGGTGGAGGTCGACGCGCTTGCGAAAAGCAGTAGTGGTAGCGCCATGTAAGCGTCGGCGACTTTGCTCATAAGTAGGTGATGGTGCTGCGCGAACGTGCTGCGCTCTTCAAGGAGCCCTCGTGTGCCTTGAATGCGAGCGTGTTGTCAGCGGTGTATCATGTGGTCGTATGCTCGACGCGGAATGTGTGCGTGTAGCACCTGCAAAGTATTGTGCCAGCCAAGAGAGGTCATCCGACCAAAGCCAACTAAGTATGTTGCTTTTTCAAGCACCAAGTCTTGCCTTCTTTCCTGCGAATACCCCTGTCCGCATCCGCAACCGTGCCGTCACGTGCAGGGAAACTTGTCGCTCGACCACTACGACGACTCCCACCACAGCAGAGACTCGCTCGATGGCCCCGGCGGCGGGATCGGAGCGTTAGGCGTGACCACCAGCAGCCTGGCCGTTAGGGCGTCGTCCGGCTTCCCTCGCGAGAATTCCGGCGGGATCTTGAGCAGCAACGCGGCTCCCTGGGGCTCGGGGATGGGGGGCGGGGGCAAGGCCGACGCGGGCGGTGCCGGGGGCGGCCAGCATTACGTAGTTCCCGGCGGTATTTGGTTGCCAACGCCCAGAACGCAGGGCACGAGTAGCTTTTCTCCGAGCAGCAGCGCCNNNNGGGGGGGGGGGGGGGGCGGGGGGCGGCGGCGGGGGCAGCGTTGCGGCGCGGGAGAGAGAAGAGGGCGGGGCCGATAGCAGAAGCAGCGCTGCCAACGGCGGGTTCTTTGGTGGCAACGAGCCGCACTGTGCGCGATGTAGCAACGCGGATGCCGGCGGGCAAGCCCAGGTAGGCGATAGGGGCGAGCTCAGAAGGTTGGATCGGTGCTGTTGTGCCTCGGGGTTGTCAACCGTTTTGTGCTTTTTGTTGTCGAGAGTCAAGGTCTCCCTAGGTGTATACGTTTGTTGTAAGCGCGGCGTATGAAGCCCTCGGTGCTCTTGGACACCCTTGCCCATGCGATTGTCTCCTCCGATATGCTCAACTTACACTGTTTCCTGTGTCTCTTGCCGCTTCCCCCCCCCCCTCTGTCTGTCCAGGTGATCACATGCAGCGAATGCGGCCAAGGGTTCCACACCTTCTGCGTGGGGGAAAAGCGGATACCCTACGCGCTGTTCCCGCCGGAGCAGCGCGTTCTCCGAGACGCCTTCGTCGCCGAGCACATCGGCGCGAGGTGGCAGTGCTCCAAGTGCCAGACCCAGGCGTCTCAGGCGACCATGTCCCCGTTCCAGGCGGCCGGTAACGACTTGTACACGCCCCCGTACAGAGACTTCGGCTCGCGGTCTTCGTCCACGAGCAAGCTGCTGGTTCTGCCGGGGGTCAAGGAGGACGGCGGTGGGACGGGGTCTTCCTCTTCCGTCGTCTCCCTGTCGAGGGGGGTGAGCGGTGACGGGGGCGACTTCGACGCAGACCTCGCGGACGTTTCGCCGTCCAAGGGACCCGTGGAGCCGTCGTCTGCGCCCCTGTCGGTGCCTTGCTGGTCGAGGTCGGAGTCGAAAGATTCGGTGGTGGTGGAGCCCTCGTCTGCGCCCTCCTCGCTGCTGGCGCTGGGGACGGGTCCGGCGACGCCCCGGAACGGGGAGGAGGAGGAGGAGGAGGAGGTTGCCGAGGCAGGGGGAGGTGGAGAGGTTGGGGGTGAAGGGAAGTGTCAACAAGAGGCAGATGGTTCTGAGGCCGGCGGTGGAGCGGAACTGGCGGCGACAGCCGCCGGTGCCGCGAAAGGCGAGGCAGGAGGACGAGGGGAGCCCGACGGTGCGGAGGATGGCACAGGCGACGACGCCGAGGCAGTGCCGCCCGTTGGGCGGGAGGGGGGTGGGGCGGTGGTGGCAGTAGACGCGGAAGACAGGGAGGAGTCCGAGATGAGCGCCGATAGTTTGGACAACTTGAAGGACGAGCAGCGAGCAGTGGGACTAGCCGTCAGAGGTGGCATTCCCAAAAGCGCAGAGGGAGGCGAGGCGGAGGAGGTCGTTTCTCTTTCCGTCGCCGCCGCCGCCGCCGCCGCCGCTCCCGCGTCCGCGGGCGATAACGGGCCGGAGTTATCGACGATAGCCGGGGAGGAGGCCTCGGAATCGGCGGTCGAATCGTTGGAAGAGCTCGGGGCAGAGGCGCCGGCCGTCGAAGGGGGGGGTGACGGCGAGGAAGCGGGAATTATGTTGGGGAGGAGTAGCGACGGAGGGGTAGAAGATGGGGGCGAAAGGGGAGCCCAGCCCCGGGGAGAGGGACACTCGGCGGAGGGGTTGGCGGCTGTTGCTCTGCCTGACCTTGTAGCCAAATCCGCTGATTTGGCGGAGTTAGCTCGGGTGCTAGGGCTGACGGCTGTGGTTACCGTAGCTCCCGTCGGCACTCAGATCGGCGATGATGGTGCCTCCGCGGCAGCAGAAGGGCTAGAAGCGACACCCGCTGCTGCTGGTGCCGCTGCTACTGGTGCCGCTGCTGTTGCTGCTGCTGCTGCTGCTGTTGGCGTTGAAGCAGAAGAGGCGCGCAACGAACGAGGTGTCAGTTCTCCGGCTGCTGAGGTTCTGACGAAACCCGAACAGCTCGTGGAGGACGCAGCTCCCGAGAGCGTGGAAGGCGAGGAGTCCCGGAAAGAGTCAGTCGATGTTCTGTTCGCAGCCCCTGGGTCGGAGGGTCTGGTAGTCGACACCGCTGCTGAAAGCCAACCACCGGGAGTAGAGGCCGGTGAAAATGAATCGGGCGTCGCTGCTCTCCCCTCGTACCCTTCCCCCGGGTCGGGGAGACGGAGGGATTCGTACGATATGGGTGAGATTGCGGCGGGACAAGGGGTTGTCGGAGAGGCCGCTCGGACTCCCGAAGGGGTCGAAGAAGATTCTGGAGGGGAGGAGAAGGTGGTTGTGGAAGGAGCTACCTTCTACTCCACTCAAGAGCTCGGAGCCGAGCTCGCCGAGGGAGACAATAATCGCGACGATTCGTTCGCCAGCGCCGAGGAGGACGATGAAGCGGCAGAGGCCGTAGCAGCAGCAACAACAATAATCTCCGACGAGGACGGTATTTTGGAGCACGATGCCGATGCCGGATCGCTGTCAGCGCTTCCCCCGCCGATGGGGCCGGTGTCGCAGGCACGGGATGGAGAGCGGCAGGAGGAGGAGGAGGAGGAGGAGGAGGCAGAAGGTAGCGGCGGCAGCACGAGAGACAGACGATCGCGACGGCCGCCCAGCCCTGCCGCCATCGCTCTGTCTCCCCACGATGACGACGAACAAGATGGGCGGCAACAACCAGGCGCTCTCTTGCTCGATTTTCCCAGGTCTACCGCGTCCAGCCCCGCCGCCGGCGGGCGCAGCGCGGCGGGTCCGGCGTCGTCTCTGCCGTCGCAGCAGTCGCTCCCCTCCCCCGGCGGAGTCGGTGGCTTCCCGGCGGCCTGCTCTCCCGGTAGGATCAGTCCACCGAGATCACCGTCCCCGAGCCGCGTCGGCTTCTCGGCCTCCCTACGGGCCAGGACCCCCCCGCGGTCCCCCCGCCGCCGCCCGCCCGTAGGGCAAAAGCCGGGCGACCGGCTGCTGGAGACGAGCAAAGGCCCTGTCTGGAGCACGGCCCAGTCCCCGAGGAGAAAGTCGGTGGCGAGGATTGGGCAGACGACGCCCGAACAGGTAGGCGGCGGCGGCGGCGGCGGTGGCCGCAAGCGAACACCCCGGGGGGAGAGAGAGCGGGAGGGCGGGCGCGGCGGCTCGCGTAGAGAATCTTCCAGCTCGAAGTCATCCTTGCGCCGGTCTTCGTCGTCTTCGGTGGTGACCCGGCCACCGCTGAGCGACGGGGAAGACGGCGGGGGGAGCGCCGGCAGAGGGGGAAGCAGGGGCGGCGGCGGCGGCGGCGGCAGCGGGAGGCGCGGGAGCGGCGCGTCGAGCCTGCTGAGCAGCGTCGTCAGCAACGCGGCCGACGACGACTCTATCCCTTCGAGCGGCAGTGGGGCGGCGTCGGGGGGCAAGCCCAAGCTCCGGAGGGTGGAGAGCCTCAACAACTTGAGGCAGGATGGGGAAGAGTACGGCGGCAAGTCGGAATCGAGGGACAGGTCGTTCACCGCCGCCAACATCGACCCTGACGCCTTGGGCCAAGACCTTGCGGCGGTGGTGATCCACTTGAAGGAGGTATGTGTACCCTCCTACCAGTCCTAGCAATCGTGCTTGAATTGCGTCTATTATATTTCTCACTACCGTAGTAAATATTCCGCAACCCAGAAGTCTCTCTCTGGCCCAAACAATGGAGTGCAGCAGGTGTTTCAGTACCTGGGGCATAACCGGTTGGTAGATACGAAATACGCGGTGCTGTTGGAACTGCCATTAACTATTCATCGCTTCGTTCCCCTGTGTTTTTTATGTGTGGATGGGTACTCTCATGTGAAATATAAATGGGCCCCGGGCATGACGGGCACTTGATAACAGAAGAAAGAGTTTCGGGGCGGAAGACAAAAGTCCATTCAACACATGTTAACATTTTCCTCTTGAGCGCGTGCGCGGAGCTCCCTCCAAAGGCGCAGTTCTACGCCATCGAATTTCCACGCGAGCCATTTTTACCGATGCCTTGTCGCTCGGTTTCGTTTTTCTGCCGCTGCTTGCCAGGACGGCCTTACGCCCGAGAAATTTCAGAAATCGCTACAGAGAAATCACCACAGGACGCCGTCGATGCCGTCGCCGAGCACCAGCTCTGCTGGCGCAACTCTGGAACCCGAGCCCGCCCCCGCCAAAGGCATGCGGCAGCAGCAGCAGCATCGCCCGCCGCTCTGGGGAGTCTTAGGCTGGATCGGTGGCGTTGCGAAGGTGGTGACCGGTCAGGGCGGTCGTGGGCACTTTGGGGAGGCCGAGCGGTTGGGCGGCGCGGCCACGGCGGCGGACGCCGCCGGAGAAGCAAGGGAGGCGGAGCCGAAGGTTCTCCCGGCTACGGAGGCAGACGCGGCAGCGGCGGTGGCAGCGGCGGCCCGGCCGAAGATCCTCCCAGCGAGCGACGAAGCGGATTCCCCGATGATGATGATGATGCCGCCCTTGTCGCCCAGAGAACGGAAGGCGTCCGAGACGGCTGCCGAGCTCGCGGAGACCCGGGCGGCAGCGGCGGCAGCGGTGTTGGCGGCGACCGCATCGGTGGCGCACGGATCGAACGGCCGTGGCTTCAGCAGCGGCAGCGGCAGCGGCGGCTGCGAGCCCCTGGTGGCCGTGCTATCGGCGGCGGCCACGGCAGAGGCTCTGGAGGTGGCGAAGAGGGCCGCACAGGCAGCAAGGGACCCCCGTAAGGACCCCGAGTACGCCAAGTTCTTCAACATGCTGGAGACGGGGGTGCCCCGCGAGACCGTGGAGCTGGCCATGCTGATGGAAGGGAAGTATCCAGCCGTTCTCAACACTCCGTTGCCGGGCCCGGCGGTGGAGAAGATCACGTCGACGGCGGCCGCCGAGGCGGCGCAAGTGGCGCTCTCCTGGGCGGAGCGAAGCCCCGGGTCTAGCAGGCCGTCCCGGAGGGAGCGGCGACAGAGCTTGGCCGCTTCGGCCTCGTCCCTTTCCCCGCGAGAGCGTCGGAATGCTGCTGCTGCTACCGCCGCGACCCCGACTTCTTCTCGTTCGCCGCGAGAGCGTCGGAATGCTACTGCCACGGCCGCCCCCGGCGCCGCTTCTTTGTCGTCTCGTTCCCCGCGAGAGAGACGGAGACCACGGCGTGGCGGGCCTGAGGCCGCCGCCGAAGCGGCCAAGGAGGCCGTGGACGGACTAGTTCCCGCTCGGGAGAACCCCTTGTACGCCGGGTTCTTCGACATGCTAAGCCGGGGGAAGCCGAGGGGGGAGGTGGCGGCGGCGATGGAGTCGGAAGGGGTCGACGCCGCGGTGCTGGACGCCCCCGACGCTCTGTTCCCGCTGCCGTCTCCGAGAAGACAGGGACGGCGGCGGCATGCAGCGGCGGCGGCGGACGTAGTAGAGGTGGAGGCAGAGCCGGAGGTGGAGCCGGATAGAGCAACCAGCTACGCGGCGGAGGGAGCGGAAGCGGCCGCGGCGGAAGCGTCGAAGGCGATGGAAGAGATCTACGCGCACATCGCCGCCCAGAAGCTGGCGGCGGCGGAGCAGGAGGCGGCGGCAGAGCCGGAGGTAGTTGCCGCTGTGGCTGCTCCCCCTAGCGAGGTGGCGGCGAAGGAGCACCCGGAGTTTTTCAAGTTTTTCAAGATGCTGGCCATGGGGATGCCCAAGGGGGCGGCCTTGCAGGCCATGGCGAAGGCCGGGGTCGACCAAGCGGTGCTAGACACCCCGGACGCGCTGCTGCCGCTCTCGGCCGAGCAGCAGGCGGAGCTTGCGGAGCGGCGCGACGCGGCCGCTGCGGCGGCAATGTTGTCGGCGGAGGCGGAGAACCAGAGGGATGGCGAGCGCGGAGAAGGGGCTTCGCCGCCGGCGGGACCGCCGAAGGGCATGGCGCCGGCCAAGGACCACCCGGACTACCAGAGTTACTTCAAGATGCTGAAGATGGGGATCCCTCGAGGGGCCGCGTTGCAGAAGATGGCGAAGGATGGAGTTGATCAGTCGATTCTCGACACGCCGGAGGCGCTGTTTTCGTTGCCGGAGTCAGGAGGCGAAGCGGCGGCGGCAGCGGCAGCGGCAGCGGCGGCGGGAGCGACAGCGGCGGTGACGGCAACAGCGGCACCAACCATGGTCGCCGTAAAGGATCATCCGAACTATCAGAAGTATTTCAAGATGCTGAAGATGGGGCTACCGCGGGGGGCGGCGCTTCAGAAGATGGCTACTGAGGGCAAGGACCAGGCGATCCTCGACACGCCGGACGCGATGCTCCCTCTGGCAGAACCGGAGGGTGGGGCGGCAGCGGCAGCGCCGAGCATGGTGGCAGCAAAGGATCACCCGGACTACGAGAAGTACTTCAAGATGCTCAAGATGGGGCTACCGGGGGGGGCGGCGCTTCAGAAGATGGCTACTGAGGGCAAGGACCAGGCGATCCTCGACACGCCGGACGCGATGCTCCCTCTGGCAGAACCGGAGGGTGGGGCGGCAGCGGCAGCGCCGAGCATGGTGGCAGCAAAGGATCACCCGGACTACGAGAAGTACTTCAAGATGCTCAAGATGGGGCTACCGGGGGGGGCGGCGCTTCAGAAGATGGCTACTGAGGGCAAGGACCAGGCGATCCTCGACACGCCGGACGCGATGCTCCCTCTGGCAGAACCGGAGGGTGGGGCGGCAGCGGCAGCGCCGAGCATGGTGGCAGCAAAGGATCACCCGGACTACGAGAAGTACTTCAAGATGCTCAAGATGGGGCTACCGGGGGGGGCGGCGCTTCAGAAGATGGCTACTGAGGGCAAGGACCAGGCGATCCTCGACACGCCGGACGCGATGCTCCCTCTGGCAGAACCGGAGGGTGGGGCGGCAGCGGCAGCGCCGAGCATGGTGGCAGCAAAGGATCACCCGGACTACGAGAAGTACTTCAAGATGCTCAAGATGGGGCTACCGGGGGGGGCGGCGCTTCAGAAGATGGCTACTGAGGGCAAGGACCAGGCGATCCTCGACACGCCGGACGCGATGCTCCCTCTGGCAGAACCGGAGGGTGGGGCGGCAGCGGCAGCGCCGAGCATGGTGGCAGCAAAGGATCACCCGGACTACGAGAAGTACTTCAAGATGCTCAAGATGGGGCTACCGGGGGGGGCGGCGCTTCAGAAGATGGCTACTGAGGGCAAGGACCAGGCGATCCTCGACACGCCGGACGCGATGCTCCCTCTGGCAGAACCGGAGGGTGGGGCGGCAGCGGCAGCGCCGAGCATGGTGGCAGCAAAGGATCACCCGGACTACGAGAAGTACTTCAAGATGCTCAAGATGGGGCTACCGGGGGGGGCGGCGCTTCAGAAGATGGCTACTGAGGGCAAGGACCAGGCGATCCTCGACACGCCGGACGCGATGCTCCCTCTGGCAGAACCGGAGGGTGGGGCGGCAGCGGCAGCGCCGAGCATGGTGGCAGCAAAGGATCACCCGGACTACCACAAGTATTTCAAGATGCTCAAGATGGGGCTACCGCGCGGGGCGGCGCTTCAGAAGATGGCCACTGAGGGCAAGGACCAGGCGATCCTCGACACGCCGGACGCGATGCTCCCGCTGGCAGAAACGGAGGGTGGGGCGGCAGCGGCAGCGCCGAGCATGGTGGCAGCAAAGGATCACCCTGACTACGAGAAGTATTTCAAGATGCTCAAGATGGGGCTACCGCGGGGGGCGGCGCTTCAGAAGATGGCCACTGAGGGCAAGGACCAGGCGATCCTCGACACGCCGGACGCACTAATTCCTCTTGCGCCAGCCCCATCCCCCGCCACTGATACCACCCCAGGCAAGGGGATCCCAACGCCGCCTCCGTTACCGGGAGCGCGCGGAGGATTCCCAACGCCGCCGCAGCTGCCAGGAATGGGCGGAGGAATCCCAACGCCGCCGCCGTTACCTGGAATGGCCGGAGGAATACCGCCGCCGCCGCCGTTGCCAGGAATGGCCGGAGGAATCCCCCCGCCACCGCCGCTACCGGGAGCAAGTGGAGGAATCCCGCCTCCGCCCCCGTTGCCAGGGGTGGGCGGAGGAATTCCGCCGCCGCCGCCGTTGCCAGGAATGGGCGGCGGCGGGGGCATCCCTCGGCCGCCACCGATGCCGGGATCGGGCGGCGGGGGTATCCCGCCTCCGCCACCAATGCCTGGGATGGCCGGGCGTGGTCCCCCTATGCCGCCCCCGTTGCCCGGGATGGCCCGAGGACCGGCAGGGCTCCCACCCCCGCCGCCTCTCCCGGGCATGATGGGGAGGGGGCCGCCGGCTTTGCCCCCCAGGGGGCCCGGCGGGATGGCGCGGCCGCCGCCGCGGCCGGCGGGGCCGAAGAAGCCCAAGGACAAGCGGCGGAAGCTCCACTGGAAGACCATCCCTCACGCGCGGCTGCAGAAGGCGGAGAGCATCTGGATGGAGGTGAGAGCTAGCGTTGTGTCAAGGGTTGTTTGCACAAGCGTGGATGATGAGGGAGAGCGCGATGTATATGGCGTGTGGTCGTCATTGTCGTGAAGTTTGAGGCAGTCAAGCGCCGTGGCGACGTAGTTTGCTCTCAGGAAGAGGAAGTACGTTGCGAACGTACATAGCGTACGTTGATGGAAGTCGGCGTAACTTCGGCCGAGAAGTTTTCCTCTGATGATGATCGCGACGGCGGCAGCGGATGGGGCATGACGCGGTCGGGGGGAGGCCGCAGAGATGACGTGCGGTGATTGTTGTCCGCTCGACGTTCCGGGTTGCGGCCGGCCTTAGCCTTAGCTCAGTCTTCCCACCCTGCTGATCGTTAGCCCTGACTGTGGACCCGCTCGGCGTTTTCCCAGACTTGACTGCTGTGGTTGGGCGGGTAATGCTATGTCCGCGCAACGGAATATCGTGCGAATGGGCGCGGCGCTGCTGTCCAACTTATTTTTTCTCCAAGGTATATGTGCCACTACTCACTCTGTTTTTTGTTCCCTGTTCGTGCATCACTTCTCTTGTTGCCTGCCGGCTTGGCTTTTGCTTCTGTTGTTTTTGTGTTCCCGCCCCGTCCCCCAACATCAGACGGAAGTAGCCACCGACATCCAGATCGATCTCGAAGAATTCGAGGAGCTTTGGGTCGAGAAGGCCGAGAAAGTGGCCGCCAAGAAGAAGGTAAAGCGGCGGTTTCGAGGAGGGGAGGGGGGGGGGGCGGGTTGAGGGGGGCCGGGAGGTGCTAGANGGGGGGGGGGGGGGGGGGGGGGGGGGGGGGGGGGGGGGGGGGGGGGCGGGTTGAGGGGGGCCGTGAGGTGCTAGAATTAGCCGGCACGCTACTGTCGTTAACGCGGGGAGTCCTGCAGTGTGTTTGCCGGGCTGGAAAGCCGAGCGTTTGCGGCCAGCGTTTGATTTTGTGTATGACGCCTGCTGCTACATTTTCTGTTCTACCGTCATCAATACCTAGGATGACATTTTTTTGTCGCTTTGATTTGCTTTGTTTTTTTTTTTTTGCGACGAAAGAGGGCAAGGGGACGTTTTTTTTTATTGTTCCCCCCTGCGCACGAGGGTAACGCGCAGCTGTCGAGCATGGCGCGCGCATTCCGTTGGTTCGAGGGAACACACGAGGCCGGCAGGGGCGTTCCACGGCCGTACCTCACCTATCCTATCCTTTGTGTCACGCATGCATGCCAGTAGTACACCGGTGCGCCAAAGGAGAGCGTACGGCTCATTCATGAGATGAGCAGGTGTAGAGGCGTGTCGTCAAGTTGTGTTTCGTGTTGAACGTCGGGAGTGTCTCTGGCAAGCGGAGGAACCTTGCTCCCCTGTCTGGAGAGAGAAATGACGGCGGCGGAATGATCGATTCAACAAGATGGAGACGAGTACACACTCCCCCCCCCCCCCCCCCCCCCCCCCCCCCCCCTCTTTTGGTCTGCTTGGTGTTATTCGATGGTCGATCAGCTGGAGGAGGCGAAGAAGAAAGATGTGAAGAAGGAGGCGCCCAAGGAGATCAGCCTGCTGGACGGGAAGCGCGCGATGAACACGTCCATCGCGATCGCCCGCATCAAGATGACGTACGCTGAGACCCGCCAGGCGGTCATGAACATGGACGAGACCGTTCTGTCTTCGAACGTGCTCCAGTCGCTTCAGGTACTGCAATGTAGGCGACGTGCTTGTTTGCTCATCTGTCTGTCTACGCAGGCGTCGGGTCTGTTTCCGATAGTTGGTTGGTTTGGTGGAATTATGGCAGCGGATTAGCCGTGGCTGATTTCTCGGCGGAGTGGTGGTCCTCTCCCACCCTCCTTGCGAGGATCTGAGGCTTGTCTCTTCCTCTTTCCCCTCCGCCCTCTCTCCCTCCATCGCCCCCTCCGTCCTTCTCTGTTCTCTCTCTCCGCCTGTCCGTCTGCCTGCCCGCCCGCCCTGTTTTTGCCCTCTCCCAGGAATTCATGCCGACGAAAGAGGAGGAAAAGACCCTGCTCAACTACAACGGCGACCCAGCCTTGCTCGGAAACGCGGAAAAGGTGCGTTGTGAGTCGTCGTGCGGGCGGCGCGTGCGCGTGGTTGCGTAGCGCTCGAGACCCGAATGTTCAGTTCCGATCATTGCCCTCGATAGTGGTAGTGCTGGCCAAGCTCGCCGGCACGCTACACACCGGGCACGAGGTCTGACGAAGGTATGAAACAGTTTGGCTGCTACGTTGTCTGCGTCACGCGGTTTCACCGGCGCTGCGGCACCGGGCACCGGCCCTGATGAACGGGCACAAAAGAAGGAGGAACTCTCCCCCCCGCCGCCGCCGCCGCCGCCGCCGCCGCCGCCGCCGCACGGCAATGTTTCCGCATTTTAGCCGTTTTCGGCGAAGAATTGCGCGGAAACAGTTGATATTGTTGTTGGTGCCTTTCTGTAAGTTGGAAGATGCCGCCTCATTTGTGATGGAGTGGGAACACCGCGCTCTTCGTTAATGGGCATGCGTGGTCAATCTGGACCCTATCGAGACCCGCGACAAATGCTTAATCCCCCTACCCTCTGCGTTCGGCCACTCTCGGCTTTGTACCCTGTCGATACATCAAAAGTTTATGCTGGAGATGATCAAGGTGCCGAAGCGCGAGATGCGTCTCAAGGGCATGCTGTTCAAGCAGCTGCTGCAGGCTAGGCAGGACGACATGCGATCCATGGCCGGGCTTATCAACTCGGCGTGTCTGGACGTGAGGCTCAGCCGGCGCCTGAAGAAGCTCTTGGGAATAATCCTAAAGCTCGGGAACCAGCTCAATGAGGTAGGTGCCCAGGACGCTGTTGTTGTTGTTGTCGGCGGCGGCGGTGTCAGTGGCGGGGNCTGGTGCTTTCACTTCCAGAGACAGCTGTAAGCACTGTGTAACTGCCTCGAGGGTGCTTGACCATTTTAACACAACGTGGTGCGATCATCCCCCTTGTGCGGAGTGAGGGTTCTCCACCCCGCACAACATGATCTATTCGAACACAATTATGGTTACCACCAAAAAAAAAACAGAGGTTAAAATAAACCGGTAACCTGGTTGCCGAGTTCACGAAGTGAATTGGCTTGTGTGACAACGTCGTTGCCAAGCGACCAAAACCCAATCCCGATGGGTGTGGGGGCGGTGAAAATTGTGGTTGCTGCTGCTTCTAGGTTTTGTTGCTCGTGGTCTTGGCGCGGTACTTGCTGCTTTTTTGGTTGTTGTTGTTGTTGTTGTTGATATGCAATGGCGCGTTCGTCGGGGTTGCATTTGCGATGAGCCATTGAGTTAAATACTTATGGTTTGTCACCTTCGCCGCTGTTCGTGATCCGTGTCATTGCTGTTGCTGTTGCCGTTACCGTTGCCGATGGTGTTACTGCCGTTGTTGATGCCAACCGTGCTTCCTTCGCTTACCCGTGACCCAGGGTCAAACCACGGGATTCACCCTAGACTCGCTCCTCAAGCTCAACACCGCAAAGGCTTTCGACAAGAAGACAAGCATCCTGCACTACCTCGTCATGCTGGCCAGGAGGAACGATCCCACGCTCCTCGACTTCAAGGATGTGAGAGAGCAGAGAGAAGAGGGCAGAGAGAGAGGAGATTAGAGCGTCAAGCGAAGAGTGGCACGCATTGGATGTAGGTAACTTTTTGTCGGTGAATGGGCCGATAGGACTAAGAGACCACAGCACAATCGATGGATGCCAAAGGTAGACCAAGAGGGCCACTGATGTTCCCGGCCTTGGCGGGCACTCCGCCCCCCCCGCCCCNCCACCCCCCCTCCCGCAACTAGGATCTAAAACACGTGTTTCCGGCGTCCCGGCTCCTCATCTCGACTGTCACGGCGGAGCTTGCGGACCTTAACAAGGGCTACGCCTCCTTCAAGCGCCTTGTGGAGGGAGACCCCAACCTACGACCGCGTCCGCCGGAGGCGTCGCCGAAGGGGGGGCCTGGTGCTCCGCCGTCCCCGGGTAGCCTGTCGCGTTCGCCAAGCTCTGGCAGCGGCGGCGGCGGTGGTGACTCGGAGGGGGCGGGGGGCGAGTCGTCGTCGCCGTCGATGTCCAGCAGCAGGTCGGAGAAGCTGGCGACGCTCTCGAGGCAGAAGACCCACAACAGGGAGAGCAAGTGCAACGCTGGAAAGGTACATGGGCGTGATGACGGCGAACGGCGGGCGTCAATTTACACAAGAGCGGAGGGAGGAGTTTTTTTTGTTTTTTCTTACAACGACACAACCAATTTTCAATCTCTATCAACAGTCCGGAATAAATTTAATAGCAACTGATTCGTGGCGTTGCGTTGGCGGACACCGTCTCCTGGGGTACCTCGACCACCAAGTGATTGTTTGTGATCACGTCTCGTTCACGTTGCTGGTCTTATGAAGAGTGCAACTTTCGTCCCCCCCGTGCCCACCATCTCTCCCCCGCTAGAACGACGCAAATCTCTCTTTTTCTCGCTCTCTGTCCCCTCGCAACCCTCACATATATGTGTATTCTATGTTGTTGTGCACGCACAATCGCAGACTATCATCAACTTCGATATGGCCACCGAGGCGGGCCGAGCGGCCGCGCTCAAGGCAGGCCAATCAGCGTCCGAGCTGGAGACCATACCGGAGGCTTCTTCTTCGGCCGGGGGCAGCAGCGCCGGCGTTGGCGATGACGGCGAGGGCGGGGGCGGGGGTGGGAAGGGTACGGAGAGCGGGTGGTTCGGGCAGGTGAGAACAGAAGAGAGAGAGGGGTGGAGTAAGAAGCGATCGGTGCCTCAAAGGGAGAGACGGCGAAGAGAGGCTGCGAGCGTACGATTTTTTGTTCGAGAGTGTGAGGGGGGGAGGGGGAGCGGGAGGGAGGGTGCAACTGCTGTGTGCTGCTGCTGCTGCTGCTGCACGACTCCCTTGTCAGAATGAATTGAAGAGCACGGCCGCCTGCAGCAACGGATGTGGTGCGAACACGCTTGCTGTGACTTGTGAGATGGAGGTCTTGATCGACGAAGCTATCTGCGCATATTTCACCCGGAAAAGGGTGTATCTGGGTGCGCGCGGGGTAGGAGGGAATGCGGTAAGCCGGAGTTCACCAGGCAACGGGCAGTTTGCAATGAATACTCAATCCTCGGCTACATCCTGGTAGATAGGGGGAGCACGCAGATCCCAGAGCTGCACGTAAGTGCGATAGATATAGGTTCGACCGACCACTTCCTCATATGGGCAAACATCGACCGATCTAGAAAGATGGAGAGTAAGAAACAGAGGAAAGTGTTCCGGTGGAAAGTAGAGCGTTTGGGAGACGAGGGGACACGGGGAATTGTTCCAGAAGGGACTGGCTGGTAGTGTAGGACCCTTCAGGAAACTGCTGAGAAGCGTCGAAGACGGACAGGTAGACGTACAAGCAGCAGGGGACAGGGTGATTGAAGGGTGGGAGTCCATCGTGAACGCAACGGCAGAGAGAGTAGTGGGAACGAAGGTAGTACGATGTGGGGTATCGGTTAAGTGGTGGGATGACGAGCTGAAAGAAGAAATAGGGGAACGTAGAGAAGTCTTCAAGCAGTACCTGAGTGAGGCGTCTGAGGAGAGTTGGGAAAAGTACAGGGCCAAGAGAAAACAGGTGAAGGGACTAGTGAAAAAGAAGAAAAAGTGTATTTGGGACGAAGTAGTGCAGAAGGCCAACGGAGGCCTGGAGGGAAACGTCAAGCAGATGTGGGAAGGGATTAGTGGAATGGTAAAAAAGACCGCGCAAGGGGGGGATACAGGGGTAGCAACTTTGGGAGGTGTGAACGGTGGATTAGTCAGCAGTGGGAAGGGAAAAGGAAACTTCTAGCAGGACACTACAAGAGACTTGGAGTGCCCTCGGAGAATGAAAG